GGGCTTAGGGTTTAGGGGTTTAGCGTTTTAAGGTTTAGGGTTTCGGGTTTCGGGGTTTAGGGTTTAGCTTCCAGGACCGCGAGAAGCTTCGTGGCCTGCTGGATGCTGCTATGGACAACGGCTTGCAGGCTCGACTTGTTTAGAGCTTAACCGGAAAAGGGGGTAGTCCGTTCACCAATACGCAACCTTAAACCCTAAACGGTTGTCTGCGCGCTGAGTTGATGTAGTCCTTTTCTCAAAGCCTAAACCCTAATGGCCCAGGTACCCAAATAGTATATACATTGGCCCCAAAGTACCTATATGTATAGGGACTGCTTCGAGGCCAAGATATCTATATCTGGGTACCCTCAACCCTAAACCCTAAACCCTAATCTGTGATTTGGGTACATGGACCCTTAGGGAGGCCTCTTGTTTGTTTCATTGGGCTATTGCAGACAAGGGTTGCAAGCTGCAAGACTGCCCCGACCTTCCAAAATCCCTTGATTGATTACGGAATATATCTTAAATTACAGTGGGATCCCAAATCTGATTTAGGTCAAATTCCTACCCTTTGTAAACCCTAAACCCTAAAACCCTAAACCCTTAACCCTAAACCCTAAACCCTAAACCCTAAACCCTAAACCCTAAAACCCTAAACCCTTAACCCTAAACCCTAAACGGTGTTAAGGACTTTGGGAGGTCTGGTTGGCTTTGATCTTTGGACGCATTTCGGATCTGGTGGCTCTCCACCTCGAGCGCCCCACTACACCAGCATAATGAGCCCCAATCCCTGAAGCTCGTTTAGGGTTTAGGGTTTAGGGTTCAGGGTTCAGGGTTTAGGGTTTAGGGTCGGAAGGAAGTCAGGAAGAGAGAGTCTGAATGTGTTTAAACCGAAGCTATGATGGCACACATCCCACACATTCTTTCCTGATTTGGCCCTGAACTCCAGACTCTAAGCCTCTGAACACTAAACCCTAAACCCTACACCCTAGACCCTAAACCGCAAACCCTAAATACCCTTTATGCTTGAATCCTCAACCCTGACCGAAGTTGATTGCGAAGTCCTAGGTAGTTCCCAAACCATGTAAATCCTTTGGGTCCTAGGCCTTATGCCACATGCCCAAAGGCCTTTCAGGGTCTGGGTATTCTTGGGTTTGGGGTTTCCAGGGTTTGTGGTTTAGGGCTGTTTGGGCCCTGGGTGGCAGTAATGTATTACGTTTTCAGGGGGAGTCCCTAAACCCTAAACCCTAAACCCTAAAGCCTAAACCCTGAACCCGCATCCGGTCCTAAGCCGCAGCCCTAGGAGCCCCTAGATCATTAGGTAGTTGGGCCCTTGGGGTTGACCCCTAGACCCTAACCCCGAAACCAGAGCAGCAATCTGCAGCCAAACCCCAAACCCCAGCCCCACAGCCCTACACCCAACCGATAATCCCGAAACCCTAAACCCTAAGCCTACAACATGAGTTTTGTAGTTCTCTGAGTTAGGGTCGCTGTTAGGGATCTTTGTTATACGCGTACTATTCTGGGGACTTAAAAAGGGACCCGACACCCTAAAGCCTACAAGATAAGTTGTTCCCAATTCCAAAGGTACGAAGCAAAGAGCTGCCTGGCACAGGAAGAGCACGGTTTAGGGTTCAGGGTTTAGGGCTTAGCAGTTTACCCATAGGCCCCATAGTAGTTCCTTTTTGGGATTACCTTATAGGACTCTAAAACCCCAAAACTGAACTACTATGGGGCCTATGGGTAGGGGTTAGGGCTTGAGCTTCGTAACGGTCTGGGCATACAACCGGCTCAAGATCTCAGGCTCCGGGGAAGGTTTTCCCTAAGGTCCATGTGCCCAAATCATAGATACTATCCCTAAGGGTCCAAGTGCCCAAATAGTAGGGTTTCAAGGTCCAAAAACTATTCAGAGTATGGATTTTGGGACCTAAAACCTTACTATTTGGGTACTCGGACCCTCTGGGTATGGCCTTAAAGTAGTCCGGATATAGGTACTTTGGGGCCGACATGTATACTATTTGGGCACATGGACCCTTAAACCCTAAACCCTCATGGTACCCTTAAAGGACCCTTACATGAAACCCCATAAAGGAACCCTATGTTTGGTACATTAACCCTTGAACCCTAAACCCTAAACCCTGATGGTACCTTTTAAAGAAGCCTGTACACCCTTAAAGGTACATGGACCCTTATAGGGCTTGGAGTCAGTATAGGATTGTGAATCAGGTGTAGCCTTAAACCCCTAAACCCTAAACCCTAATCAGGTGTTCTTTTTACAGATGTCTGTGCAGAAGATCAGGGATGCCTAATGTAGGGGCCCTTTTTTAATTGGAAGCAGGTTGTTTTTTTTTTGGGGGGGGGTCCTTTAAAGGGTTCCTTAAAGGGGATGCTATAAGGGCTAGTATGAGGGTTAAGGGTTTAGGGGCCTTTATAATTGGAATAAGTTGTTTTTGGGGCCACGGTCCTTATTATTTTTATAGTATAGTATACCCCCAAACCTATTCTATATGATTATTAAGGCCCTTATATTACTTGGAGTGTTTACCTTGTACGCATTGAGGGTTCACGATCAGTCATTCAATACGATGTTGTAGAATAGTTTCCCGTTTGCTCCGTGTGCTGAGGTCGAGGATTGCGGTTTGGGACTTAGAACAGAGGGCTTTGTGTGTGTATGTAGGATATGGGGTAGGTCCGCCCTAAACCCGGAACCCTAAACCC